GGAGTCAGGCCCCCAAGTCCACATTTCAGGAGTCAGGCCCCCAAGTCCACATTTCAGGAGTCAGGCCCCCAAGTCCACATTTCAGGAGTCAGGCCTCCACTGTCCACATTTCAGGAGCCAGGCCCCCAAGTCCACGTTGCTCTTAGCACTAGTGTCTTCCAAGCTCTTACTAGAGTGACCCACTAAGCTCTGCTTACAGCATTCAACCACTTTTCTAGTCCAAAGTCTTCCACATCCCCTGCTCCCCTCCCCTCAGAAAAATACCCAAACTCAGCATGGTCAGGCCTGTCACAGCACTGGCCCACTCCCTGGTACCAACATCTGTCTTAGTTACTTTTCTGTTGCTGTGACAAAACACTATGAGTGCCTTAGAGTTTCTACCACTGTGAAGAGACACCATGATCACGGCAACTCTTACAAAAGAAAACATTTAACTGGGGCTGACTTACAAGTTCTGAGGTTTAGTCCATTATCATCATGGCAAGAAGCATGGTGTAATGCAGGCAGACATGGTGCTGGAGAAGGAGCTGAGAGTTCTGCATCTGGATCAGCAGGCAGCAGGAAGAGGAAAGTGACACTGGGCCTGGCTTGAGCAGCCTACCCCCAGTGATATACTTCTAACAAGGCTGCACCTACTCCAACAAGGCCACCTCCTTTGTAAGGTGCTGTTTCCCGCAAGCCTATGGGTGCCATTTTCATTCAAACCACCACAGTGAGCAAAGCAACTTACACAAGAAAGCATTTCCTGGGGCTTGTGGGTCCAGAGGGTTACTTGGATGACCATCATAGGTGGGGGACCACGGCAGCAGGCAGGAAGGTATGGAGCTGGAGCAGTAGCTGAGAGCTCACATTTGCAGACAGTTAACTGGGAATGGCAGGGGCTTTTGAAATCTCAAGTCCACCTCCAGTGACACACCTCCTCAAGGCCACACCTTCTAATCCAGTGATTCTCAACCTGTCTGGTGCAACCCTTTTGAGGGTCAAATGACCCTTTCACAGGGGTCACCTAAGACCTTCAAAAGACACAGCTACTTACATTACAATTCATAACAGAAGCAAATTTACAGTTATGAAATAGCAATGAAGATAATTTTGTGGTTGGGGGTTTATTTTATGGTTCCACAGCAGGAGGAACTATATTAAAGGGTTGTAGCATTAGGAGGCTTGAGAACCACTGCTGTAATTTTTTCCTAACACTTCCACTAACTGGGGACCAAGATTTCAGCTATGAGCCTATGGGGCAATTCTTGTTCAAAACACTACAGTGTCCCACACCTTTCAAAGGTGTTGGTATTGAGACAGTCAGCACTCATGATCTTGTGGTCCTATATCTTGTGTACACCCAGCACCTAATGCAGCAGTTGCTTACACATTTGGTTTAGTGGACTAAGCCATTCTAATACGCACCTCCATATAAGGAGTGGAGACCCCCTGGGGATACATCCTCAAGTTAGTGTTCTCTTGAGCAGTGTCACTTTCCGTGGAAACAGCACCTTACTAGACCCGAGAACACTTGAGCTAGAAATGGTTCATTAGAGATAGAGTTAAAAAATATCGTGTAACAGCAGGCTTTCTGTGTCTTTGACGATCCCAGAGGGGCACAACTCCCGAGCCTGTCCCTATGTCCCTAGAAACCGCAGAGGTCCAGAGACTCAAACTGACTTTTGAGAGGTCACACAGTAATGAGTCAGAGCCAAGACTCATTTCTTTGGACTTGGCTTCTTCATTTTCCTCTGCTCTGTTTTGTGGAAGAGTTTCTGGAGTCCTGGGCACTGGGGATGTGGCATGGTATGTTGAAATAGAGCATAGGAGTCATTTGTCGTGGTGTGTCAGGACATGTGACCTTGATGCAGGCCTGCTTTGAACAGTGGGTGGAGCCTGACTCCAGGACCCTGTGATGCACATGAGCTAATCGGATGGGAATAAAAGTGCTTTAATTTTTAAATTACATTCATTTTATGTCTTTGATGGTGGGTGTACCATGGCACCCATGTAGAGGTCAGAGGACAACTCTTGACTATGTTCTTCTACTTTATGTGGGTTCTGGGGAATCAAGCTGAGGCTGTGGCTGATGGCTTAAACTGTGATTGTGTGTGCATGTGTGTATGTATGGGTTCATATGTGTGTGTTTGTACATGTATGGGCTCGTGTGTGAGCACATGTGCACATACACACGTTGTCTTTGTCACTCTTGCTATTGCTGTGATGAAACACCATAAACAAAGCACCTTGAGGGAGGAAAGGGTCTATTCAGCTCATACTTCCTCATCACCGTTCATCATCAAAGGAAGTCGGGACAGGAACTCAAACAGGGCAGGAACCTGGAGGCAGGAACTGATGCAGAGGCCATGGAGGAGTGCTGTTTACTGATTTGCTCATCATGGCTTGCTCAGCCTGCTTTCTTATAGAACTCACGACCACCAGCCCAGGGATGGAACTGCCCACCATGGGTTGGGCCCCCTCCCATTGATCACTAATTAAGAAAATGCCTTACAGCTGGATTTTATGGAGGCATTTTCTTTTCTTTTTTTTTTTTTTTTTTTTTGGTTTTTTGAGACAGGGTTTCTCTGTGAAGCTTTGCGCCTTTTCCTGGAACTCACTTGGTAGCCCAGGCTGGCCTCGAACTCACAGAGATCCGCCTGCTTCTGCCTCCCAAGTGCTGGGATTAAAGGCATGCGCCACCACCGCCCGGCGAGGCATTTTCTTAATTGAGGCTCCCTCCTTTCAGATGACTCTAGCTTGTGTCAAGTTGGCATAAAATCAGCCAGCGTCCATGTGAAGGCCCAAGGCTGATGTCAGTAACCATCCTCAGTCACTTTTCCGCCTTATTTATTGCTGTAAGGTTCCTGCTCAAACTCAGAGCTTGCTGTAGGGATCCCGTGTCTCAGCTTTCTGAGACCAGATTACAGGAGGGCCATCTCATCTATGCAGCATGTACATGAGTTCCAGGGATCTGAACTCTGGTCCTTGTGCTCAGGGGACAGACACGTTAGCCACTGATCCATCTCCTCAGTCCTTGGTACAAGTTTTAAACTTTGATTTTCCTTTAGTCTCTTCCTTCAGGTTGGGATTGTGTGTGTGTGTGTGTGTGTGTGTGTGTATTTGAGACAAGGTCTCACTGTGCTGCCCTGGCTATCCTGGAGTTCATCATGTAGACTAGGCTGTCCTCTGCTTCTGTAGTGAGTGCTGAGATTAAAGGCCTGCACCACTGAGGTTGAGGTTTTCTTTTCTCAAAAATCTTTTCTTTAATCACACACACATGCTTATTTACTTGTGTGTATGAGAGAGAAAGTGAGGGATGGCAGAGCTAGATGGTAGATAGTTGTGGAAGATGCGCACACACACACACAGTATGCATGTGGTATGCAGAGGGCAGACTGTGGGAGGTGGTTCTCTTCTCCCACCTTATGGGTTCTGGCGGTCAGACTCGGGTTGTCAGACTCGGCAGCAGGCACTGTTACCGACTGAGCATCCGACTGGCCCCAACTCGTGTATTTTGGTCCCTCTCTATGTTAGAAACTTTGGTGCCCTCATTCAGGAGGGGAGACTTAAACAGAGCAAGAGAAACTCGTACTGTTTGGATGAAGTTTGTTGACTGAGATTCTCAGGATTTGTTTCTTAGGGATGACTAAAAATTAATATTTTACATTATTAAAAAATTCTAGCAAAGATTTAAATATAAATCTTTTTTGTTGTTGTTGTTGTTTTGTTTTGTTTTTCAAGACAGGGTTTCTCTGTGTGGCTTTGTACTTTTCCTGGATCTTGCTCTGTAGACCAGGCTGGCCTCGAACTAACAAAGATCTGCCTGCCTCTGCCTCCTGAGTGCTGGGATTAAAGGCGTGCGCCACCACCGCCCGGCACAATAAACTATTTGGGTTGAATTTAATGTAAATATTCAGATTCAGAAAAACTAGGGCAAAATGGTAGTGGTGATTTGTCAAACTAATAAAGAAATTGATTTCTTTTTTGAGGGTAGGGGGAGTTTTATTCAAGGCTACATGGATGCTAATCTGTACTTTACCACTGAGGCATACCCCAAGCCACAAGATGTTAAATTGAAATCTGAAGATTAAAAAATAAAACCATTTGATAGCTTCAGGGGGTGTGAGGTCAGCTTTCCTTGTCAACTTGACCCAACCTAGAGCCACCTGGGAAGAGATTGTCTACATTGGGTTGGCCTGTGAGCTTGTCTGGGCGGGGATTTTTTAAAGTTTATTTTTGTGGGGCAACCCAACCCACTCCGGGTGTCGCTGTTCCCTGCGCATGGGGATCCTGAACTGTGTGAGAGTGGAGAGATCGAGCGAGCACACAGACATGGCTTCTCTCGGGTCTCAGCTGAGTGTGGCTGTTTGGAGTTCTGCTGCCCCGACTCCCCTGCTGTGATGGACTGTAGCCTGGAGTTGTGAGCTGGAATAGACCCTTTCTCTCCTAAGCTGCTTCTTGTGAGGTGTCTCATTACCACAACAGAAGTGAAAGTAGGGTAGAGACCTGGAACTCACCTGTGTGTATCTGTGCCATTGATGGTGTCCGGGAGAGGCCTCTGAAATTGCTGTGTTGGAAGCCAGCAGATGAAGTCAGTACTCCATGCCTAAGGAGTGCTTGTTGGTATTCAGCTGCCCACAGCCAGGGTGCAGGTCTCTGAGGTGTAACGATGATAGGAGCCCTGATGGGGGCACTACTGAGCAAAGAATGAGGGCGTTGACCCAGAATGTGGCAGTGATGGAAAGCGCGTTCTGTCTGGGAGAATTCCGGGTGAAGATAGGTACCAGCAACAGTGGTGTTTCTTTGGATGCTCCTGCCTGGTTGTCAAGGCGACCACAGTGTGTAGACCTCACCCCTTGGAGAGATCATACAATACTGTTTTCACAAGTGCCTTTTGTAACTGGGACTGTCCCAAGAATGTAAGTAATACTCACCTTCTTCCAGAAACTTCAGAGACAGCCAGATGAAAGGGATACCTCTGCCCTAACTTGTAAACCTGCTGCATGTTCCTGGCATGGCAGAGGGTGTGGTTGTGACACAATAAATGGTACCCAAGTCAGGGCACACCCTGGCGACCTGTGCAGTGAGCCTGTTTATGGGCTTGTCCACCCATCCAAGATCTTTGTTGCTTTAAAAGGGAAGGTGATGGAAACATCTTAAGAATTGACATTAAGCCGTCTTTCCGGATCTTTGGTAACCACTGGATTTGAATGTGAGTGATGGTGTTACTCATGTCTGGCCCTGAGGTGGTGGTTGGACTTTTATTTCAGTCTCCACTTTGATTTGTGGGTAGTGGTGGTCTGGAGTAAATTTGGGAAGGATTCTGAAGCTGTGCCTGGACCTGGGAGCTTTGAAAAGATTAGTGATCTCTCCTGTGGGATGGGAGGGGGAGACACCGTAGACGGCAGTTTCACCCCTTCATTTGCAGTGGTGTTCTTGGCTTGCCTGTTCCTTCAACTTTAAGCTTCAGAGGGAAGCATCCTTCTCGTTCAGTGTCTAGTTAGCTTTGAGCGAGGTCCCGAATGGACATGCGAGCATTTGTTGCGTGAATGAGTAAATGAATGAACTAAGGCCAGCGTGTGTGACGTATTTAGTATTCCAGAGAGAAGGCAGCAGCGTGTCTCTGGTGCCACGCTGTGACTCTCAGGCGACCCTCTGCATTGTTACCAAGAGAGCATGGCTCCCATCTTAGCCTCCAAGGAGTTTCCATTCTGGTTCAGACGTATGTGTGAAATGGTTAGCTCTCAGGAAGGGAGGGCGGGAAATTGCTAATGACTAGCCTGGTCCTGGAACGGGCGGGCGGCAGCTGTTTGAGAGCACAGTGCTGTGGTTTGGTGCATCGGTGTTTGTCTCATGCAGAGTGAGCGAGCTCTTTTGCTTGGGGGCGGCCTCTGCTTTTGCTTCCAGGTGATGTTCCATCGCGTGTCTGTTCCCTTCGCTTCCGTGACAACTAGGATAGTGTTTTGACCCCTCAGCAGTTTTGCTTACATTTAAATGCCAAGGTGGAACAATCTGCTATTAGAGGTGCCGTGTAGATTTCTTAAGCTGAAGCGTGTTCAGTCACAACATTTGTTTTTAGAAGGAGTTATTTATAACGTTTGGAATTATCACAAGTCAGAGAAAGCCTGCAGTGTGAAAATAGCACATTATGAAAACTTTATCCAAAGTAGCAGTCTGCTTCAAAAGAAATGCGAACTTTGAAAACAAATGAAAGTTTTCTGTTTAGTGTGTGTGTGTGTGTGTGTGTGTGTGTGTGTGTGTGTGTGTGTGTGTGTGATATCGGGTGTCCTGCTCTGTCACTCACTCACCTTATTCCCTTTGAGATAGGCTTTCTCACTGAACCTGAAGCTAGGCTGGCGGTCAGCGAGACCCAGTCATCCTCCTGTTTCTCACCCCTCACAGTGTTGTGGTTACAGATGTGTGCGTGGCTGCAACCAATTTTAACATTGGTACTGGGGATTCGAACTCAGGTCCTCATGCTTGTGCGGCAGCACTGTTAGCCGTAGAGCTAGCACTTGAGCCCCAAGTGTGATCTTTTAGACTGAGTCCTTAAACCAGTGATGGAGCCATTCTAGGTGTTCAATTATTGTTGGATATTATCAATTACTGAGGGAGTTACTGTTCTTGCTAAGTGGTTTGTATAATTGATCATTTTGGGTGCTGATGGTTAGTTTTGATTTTTTTTTTTTGTTGTTTTGTTTTGTTTTTTGTTTTTTTTGTTTTTTTTTTCTTGAGACAGGCTTTCTCTGTATAGCTTTGCGCCTTTCCTGGAGCTCACTTGGTAGCCCAGGCTGGCCTCGAACTCACAGAGATCCGCCTGGCTCTGCCTCCCTAGTGCTGGGATTAAAGGCGTGTGCCACCACTGCCTGGCTAGTTTTGATTGTTAACTTGCTACAATTTAGGATCAGCTGGGCATCTCAAGGAGCACCTATCTGCATTGGCTTGTGAACATGTCCCTGGGGGTTGTCTTGACTATGTTAGTTGAAGTGGGAAAACCTGCCCGTTGTGGGCAACACAGTTCTCTTGGGTGGGATTTTTATATGCATGGGAGCTATTAGAAGCATGTATGTCTCTCTCCTCTTGACTGTGGGTGTGACTAACTGTGGACTTCTCTACAGAGATGGACTGAAACCTGGAATTGTGAGCTGAGATAGACCCTTCCTCTCCTCGATTGCTTTTGTTAGGGTATTTTATCACAACAACCAAAATAAAACTAAGATGTCAGGGGCAGTCAACTTAATAGTGTTTGTTAATCATAAATGGTGATATTGATATTCCATATATATATGTTTTGTTTTCAAACAGGTTGAATGTCATTTTTACAAAATTTGATGAAGTCCAAAAGTCTGGAAATATGATACAGTCTGCAAATGGTGAGTGGGAAGACCAGTCCCCATTTTTGCATTTTTCAGTTTCATGGCAATAATGCTTTTGAACTATTTCTGAATGGAGACTAGATGTTTCAATAAGGTCTTCTAGGTCTCAAAAGTCAGGTTTCCTCCATCTACTTTTCCAGGCCGGTGAACTTACCACTGGCTTTGTTTCAGAAGCTCCATTGACCCACTAGCTAATCCATTCTCTCATCGTTCCACTAACTGACTGGTGCAGACCTCGGGATGCTTTGCCTGCGCTGTCCTGGCAGCACCCGGACATCCGGCTCCTCCTCCTCCCCCATGTCTGTAGTCTGTGTTTATTTAGCATCCAGAGTAATCCTGCGAGGATGCAAATGAGGTGTTGTTGATCACCCATTCATACTCACAGCCAGACTGCAATTTAGTGGTCCCCAGGCCTGGTAATGTGGCCTAGACTTCTATTCTAACGTCATTCTTTCTTTCTGAAAGTTCTCTCTGCTCCTGCCATGCTGGCCGGCATGCTAAGTTAGAACATTCTGAGCATCTCTGTGCTTACGACTCCCACTTCCTGAAATACTGGTCCCTGGTATCATTATGGCCTCTTCTGATGCATGTGGTATGGAGAATGATCTCCAATAGTAGCTCTGCCTGTGGTTGTAAATGAATGAGTTTCTTAAATGTACAGCCAACCAAGTAAAAGAATAAATTGGTAATGGATAGTTAAACATCATCAAATCAGGTCCTCAGAACATCCAGCCAAAGCCTGCTGGGGAAGCAAGCCCCTTTATGGTAGCCACTTGAAGTTCATGAGGAGAGAGCCCCAGGTAGGGAGAATGTCTTCTTGGGTGAGGTTTCCAAGTAAAAGAACAAATAGCAACAGATAGAGATGGCACCATCAATTGGGTGCTCACAATATCCAGCAGAAACGGATGGGGGAGATTGAGACAGTCCCCTGGGGTTCCCAGTAGAACTTTCTCTCCGAGGCTGAGCTTCCCGCGCCGACCTTCGGGCTTCTCTTTCCCGCCACAGGCACTCTGTTGGTAACAGCTTGCGTCTGTTGTCGGGGGTGCAGTGTTTTACTTTTGCCCTATTTTGTTTTCTTGCTGCCCTGTCACAGTGTAGCCTAGCCCTAAAAAGGGGTCTTGGAAGGCACTTGGCATCAACATGCTTGAGCCTGAAGTTGGGGTGCCAGTCTTGCTTCCAGAGCCGGCTTCTCAGTGAGCTCATACAGCACATGACAGTTTAACAATGGAATGTACAGTACCCCTTCACCCATCCTGATCTTCCTAGTGGAGGCCACCCAGAGCACTGTGGTCAGGGCCTTCCTGGGGCTCTCTGCCCCACCCCGTTTGATACGCTAGCAATTTCACTAGAGAAGACTTGCTTACTTGTGGGGTGGGGTCTCCACTGTATTCCTTTACTTTTCCTTTATTCCCACTGAGCATAGCCTAGTCCTCCCCAGCAGTCTCTGGCCTGTGCCAGGTGTGTGATAAATATTGTCCTATAAATATGGTAAGGACCATGATATGTGAGTCATGGCCTGTCATTTCGACTCCTTGGCTGGCCTTCACTATACTTTTGAAGGTATTTGAGGACAAACGGGTCACTTTTGTGATTCCCAAAAGGAGGAAAAGGCAGAAGTAAATTACTGAAAGAATGAAAAGCCATCCAGGGATCAATTGCCAATAGAGTTGAGTGTGTGTGTGTGTGTGTGTGTGTGTGTGTGTGTGTGTGTGTCCCCTACTTAGTTCTATGGAGAAAGAAAGCTGACTAGTATAAATAGCAGTGGGGAAAAAGAAATAATAAACTATGAGGCCACTTGGTTGTTGCCTTCCAGGGAAGGGAGCTGGTGGACTCTGTCCACCTGCTGTTACTGCAGTGGCTTTAGATCCCAGGTAGTAGCCTGCAGGGTTATGTTGTACACTGCGGCCCTTGTTCTTTAAATGTACCAGTTACGACCGTGCAACAACCAAGTGGCCTCATGTCGGCACTGGGGGATAGATGTAAGAAATACTAGCAGTTCTTCTACACAGCATGTCCACAGGAATCTCACAGCAGCTATTCTGTTTCTAATTAGCTGCCTTATAGTTGCTACTGGGATCTGCTGCCAGCTGTCACTCAGTCACCACACAGCCAGTGTCTTCCTTATCTGGAACAAGTGAGTCACTGTGCTGGAATCCAGTGGTTTGCTGGGCACTTGATTCTGTGTGATAGTGACGGCACAGTCTCTTCCTCAGACGACTAGCGATGGAAGGTGACCTCTGTCAGTCACTTTGAAGTGTTTCCACATGGTAGAGTCAGCTCCCTGGCAATGGTAATGTGGCAGTCAGAATGTGCGCTGGAATTATTAGACATGTTGGTGCACCTTCTGCTCCGAGCAGTCTCCACGTTTAATGTGAAAATCACATTTATTTGTACATATGCACACCATGGCACTCAGCTGGAGGCCGGCAGATAATTTTCTGGAATCAGTTCTCTCAGTCTAGCGTGGGAGTCCTGGGGATCGAACTAAGGCTTGGCAGCAAGCGCTTTTACCTGCTAAGCCATCTTACCGACCCCTTTGCTCACTTTTAAGCTCTGCTATTTTAAGTCTTCATGATTTGAGCTGTATGGATCCTTTCTAGACTCCTGGATCATAAGACTCAGCTCATAAATAATTGGCAGACGTCCC